GAACATCAGCGAGGAAAACTGAGAACAATTACTTCGGGATCTGACTAAGAGAAAGTCAGAAATGAAATTCCCTTCATCTTCGATTCCTGAGAAGTCTTTCTTGTGGGAGGCAATGAAAGCGAACGATGGGAAGAAAGCAGTGAGGTGATCTCTGGTACATGTATTTGCATGGGAAATATTCCAGTGACATCAGAATTAAAATATGCAAGAGGCTGGGCTTTAACGAGATGTGACTCCAGTTCTTGGCACAATGCCTGTTTCAAATAACTTCAGTAACTTGGGGCTTTTGTATAGTTTTAGCTGAGTGAGGGATTTAGAAGCAGCAGGTTCATTTATTTGCAAAAAGAAAAAAAAAAAAGATTAATTTTATTCCTGCAGTATTTTTTGGAGTTGTTTGAAATGACGTACGCTGGGATTGTCTTTCACTGTATTTGAGTAAGGTGGAATGTAGCTGGTTTGGAGATGCTGCATGCAGAATCCCTACATGTGCCACCCTACAGCAGGGTGGTGGCTGGGCTTTTTGGTTGGGTTAAGTCAGCTTGTCCTGCAACCCATCAGAAAGGTTCTGGAGAGTCTTTGGCCAGGGTAAGTGGTTTTGGAAAAGAGGAAATCGAGGGTAAGTTGTTTCAGAAAAGAGGAAATCAAGCATTAGTGACCATTTGGGCAATAGATTCCATTTTCCAGGCTCCATTCTCAAACAATGGCATAAGATTCGGGGTTTTAGCAACGTTACTGGGTGGTCCTGGGTGAGCTGCAGAGCTGGGAATGGAAAAGCCCGGGTGAGGAGGAAATAGATTTTCATGTCATCTTTCCCTCCAGCATGGGAACCTCCAATGGCAGCCCCACAAATGGCCAGGCAGAGTGAAAATAGTCAGATGCCTCTTCTCAAACTGAGACATCATTATTCCGGATATCCTTGTGAAAACAGTAAATCCTGCTTCAGGCACTAAGGGCCAGCTTCTGCGAGGTGTAAACTGACTGTGTGGGGGCTGAACTTCCTCTAGTCAGAGGCTGATGCAAGGATCCCCCAGGTTCATTGTACCACAGGAGTAGTAACCCTCAAGAGAGGGATTTCAAAAAAACCTTCAGAAAAATCTTCATTTAATGCATGTCATACTGAAGCAGTCCCTCCTCTTGCTAAGATTTTCTGTAAGCTTTTTCTTGACCAGCTGCCCGTACAACACTAGGAAGCTTGCCATAATTTTATTGTTAAAAATAACACAGCATATTAACCTATTGTTAAAGTAACATAAGTCTGTAAAGAGAGAGAAAATGAGCATTTTTAGGTCTGTGCATTGCCATCTCCTGGCAAATGCCCAAAGGGAAATGAGTGGGAAGGAGAATAGTTGGAGCATTTCTATCATATGGAAGCAGTCTAGTAACATTATCCCCAGACTGAAATGACACATTCTGTCTCCTTAACCCAAGGAATTTAATCAGGGCAGGGCGTGCACTTTTTATATTGCTTTGGGTGGGTCAGACTAAAAGAATTTTGTATGTTCGCACTACCTCAATTTCTTTTGTATCGTGTATCCCAGTGTTGATATCAAACAATACATACAAATTGGCAGTTTAGGAACCAACTGCCTGAAAGCTAAATCATAAATCCGTGCAGATTTTGGCTGTTCTAGGGAAAGCGAATGCAGTGATAATGAAACACACTCATCAACCGCTACTTCGTTAGGATATAATGATGCTAAATGAGAGTGGAACGAACAGAAAAATGCATTACTTCTTGAATCTTCATTTAGAAAAAATGGCAACTGAGCCAAGAGGGGTGGATTTGCCTTCCTGTGCTCAGGATGCGGTGAATGAGAGCAGCAGAGTTCCCTGCAGCCTGGCCCCGCACCGGGGCGGCACCGGCACCGGAGCGGGGTCAGGCTGCAAGGAGCGAGTTTTCTGGCTTGAGTTTCCTCTTCTGGCAGCCCATGACATCCTCGAGTGAGGCGCCAGGTGGGTTCCACTCAGCTTACAGCAGCTCCGACTTCTCATCGCGCTCTGCTGACGGCTTTGTGGCTGGATGCCTTTAGGAAACGCTTAGTTTCGAACTTAGTTTTCTTGGCTTCACTGCGTTATCTCTGAATATCCACAAGTTTCATATATTGACCAAGTAAAAATTGTCTGTTGACCAGGACTCAAGGGGTGTGAGCAGGCTCAGCAGGGCTGGTAAAGTAGCTTTCTTTTAAACATAACTTTCTGTTGCGTTCAATAGTTCCTAACACATGACTTCCTAACCCGTGTCACAGGCACTGGTGGTGGCATTTTGTGGAATTAAGGCAAATTTCATGCTGCACACAGACAATGCGCTTCTTTTGGGTTTTGTTACTTCTTGGCTTTATCGGAGCAAGCTGTTACCCTTCCTCTTACAGCTCCTTCTAGGATTTTTACGTGGTGTATTTCTCAATTGTGTATGAGGGTCCCATAAATAAACAGTCATAAGGAGCTTCCACATCAGAGAGATGCCGTACCTGCCCCAGCTTTACAGCTAGCAAGACCGAAGCACAGAGAAGTGACCTATCTGAGGTTAAACTGCAGAGAGATAAATCCCTGTCTCTTACCCCATTTACCTGGATAAGGATTTTAAAGTGTAGATTTGGGAATTATAAAGTTACACTCTCATTTATCCTAAAGTCAGCGGGAGTTAAATGCCTAGTTGCCCTGAGCTCTTTGAAATTCTTGCGGAGCAATTAACAGATCAGCCAGGACTGACAAGCTGCCTACTGTGGTCTGCAAAGAAAATATCTTTAAACTTGTTTAGGTCCCAGTAACCAACATGGGAGGCTAATGACAAGGATCTGAGTAAAGATCCTGATGTCAGCTCAGGAGTCTTAGTGATCAGCCTGGGACGCTAATGCCAAGGAGCTGGATAAAGATGCAATTAAGGTTGCCACGAAGTACAGGGGTACATTGCAGTTCCCAGCTGTGATAACTGAAGAATTGGCTGCAGTTCCAAAACACTAGCATGGTAGTGAAGTTAGGAATGGAAGGACAAATATCGTGGCCTTTTAATTTTCTAGACATTTATATTCACTATCTGCATAGAGCCTAAATTATCCTGGCAAAATTCCAAGCAATAATTCTTTTTCCCTCCCTCTTCCTTGAGTGGGTTAATGAAGTATAGTTAGGCTTTGCTATTTTGCATTGCACAAGGGGCAACAAAATCATCATTTCCGCTTATTTATGATCCATCTCAGCTTTGGGAGAGTTTGATGGCGTTATGAGTCCCTGATTGCTTACCCTGGTCAGTGCAAACACCCTGCTTTGAAAGCATCGCCTTTGAGACTTCAGTACTGAGTAGACAACGTATTCATCCTCTCTTTAAGTAAGAAGGAACAACTTAAGAAAAAGCAGTTCTTGAAAATCCCGTCACAGGTATAATGCAGTTACGAACATCCTCAGGAAATCACATCTCTACTGCAGCAGATGCAATTTTCACAGAGTGTGTATAGAATGAAATACTTTTTTAGCAGCTGTAGGTCATAGGGAAGTAATACAAATTTTTATAGCCCCGGGGAGATACACAAACCAGAAAGATGCAATGGGAAACTCGTAATTTTATCTTCAAATGGACCCTGAAAAAGCCTTGTCACTTCCACTACTGCCAGTACAAACAACAACAGGATTTATGTCACCGCTGCCGACTCGTGAGCTGTAGGAATGGGCATTGCCATTGCAGAGTTCGGCGTGTGGCTGCCAAGCATGCCCTGGTGCTTGTTGACTCCAGTTCTGGAGGAGGCTGAGAGGGATGGTAGCTTGGGACTGTCTGTGATGAGAGGAGGCAGCAGCACCTTGTTGTGCTGGAAGAGTTGGCCGCGCCGGGCCAATTCAAGCAGGTTTTTGAGGCGGGGGTCCGGGTGCCTGCTTGTCTGTTGCTGTTATAGGAGGTAAAAAAAAGTCTTCCTATTTAATGGCAGAGATTGGGAAAGAACAAAATATGTAAAAGTCAAAAGTCAGTCCTATCCTCTTTTGTGTTCTCCTGTCTGTACTCGCACGGCATGGGGAGGAGAGGCTGTGCTGTGCACCTCCAAGCTGAGCACGTTGAGCAAAATCTGCTGCTTTTCGCAAGCACTGCACTTGCACACTGCAGAAAAGTGGACAAGTAGGGTCCTGGAGTAACTAATCGGAATGCATGGTAGCCCTTTCGAAAACGGCAGCATCACAGATCCGATCTTGCCAAAGAAAGTGAAGCGTTTCCCGCTGGACCTGCTCGGACAGGCTCGGGGGAGAGCGAGGAGCAAAAATGGCTCATCTATACTGTTTGTGTTGCCAAAAAAATAGCATGAGGGTGCTTCCAATAGCCCCAAAGAGTCCTCAAGGACATTGCCTTGGCTTTTCAGGAAGGAATCTTCCATAGGAAACTGAACTTTGGCAGCTGTTAAACACGTGCCTTAAAGCATCGCGTAAGTTGCCAGGACCATGATGGTTCCTTGAGCAGGATTTATAACTGTCTATCGCACTTTTGTAACCCTTGCTGCCAAGGTGGGTGTGTCAGTACTAGCTGTTAATGCTACTCATGAATATTGCTCTTCTCTCAAGTCTCTGTGACTTTTATTCCCAGAGCTTAAGACCTCTCTGCGTCCCTGGTCGAGAGCACTGCTGAGCAGCTTCATCTGTGTTCTGCCGTTACTCTCCCACGAGTTTTCACTTGTCCTTCAGGTTGGACATGCGAAGCAGTCTTGCACATCAGTACTGAGCACAGTCCCGTGGAGAGCAGTTATTTCCTTTTGAACAATTATTTATTTCATTTTTTATTTCCTCCTGGTTAGTGATACAGGCTCCTCTGCGAATTTCCTCTCATCAGAGTAAGATTCCTACTCATCCATTATCCCTTTATGATTTCAATTTCCAATAGGATGGGGAAGAGGCAGCACAGACCTCCCTGAAATACAGAGGTTTAAGTAGGAACCTTTAGGTAGTTAGTTGAGCAGTGAAATAATTCCAGCAAGTAGTTATAGGCGTGCAGACTGAGAACACATTGGTGCTTCACGTGGCGTTGCAACATGGGGCTGGACAAAGGTATGTTAAAACACTTGAAGATTTATGTTAGCAAAGAAAATTCCCCCAGCTCCGGTGTCCTTGTCCTATGGAAGGGGCTGTCTCTGAATGTGACCATGCCTTTGTATTTTCAGACAAAATCATCAAAAATGTCATCACCGGCTGCAAAATATTTTCTAGCCTGTTATTCTTTGCACCACTGTTCACAGCTTGGTTTGCTCTAAAAATAGAGTTGTGCTTTCAGCGTTTTGGGAACTGAGGGCGCTTCAGCCCCTCCACAGTCCTGCCCAGGCTTGGGAAAGCTGGGCACAGGCTCAACATGATCAGTTTAAAATGAAGGACCACTATAGTTTCTCCACAGTGGAGCTGTTTGACTGGATCTACTGGGTGTAACTAAGCAAAAATCACTTGTCTTTCTGGAGACTTTGGAGACTGGTCATCCTCCTGGCTCTTTTTCTACAGATTTTTTTTTCTTTCCTGTCTTGCTCTGTGAGTACAATGCTTGTATTTTATCAGTCCCCTGTCGTGGTATTTAGTAAATGCTGTGTTATGATAAAGATTATGATAAATTATGGCACTGAGTATAGTAATAAATGTAGACATAGTGTATATTGGCTATTGTGGAAGAAATTAGCTTATGTTCTGCACAAAAAGTCATGCATCTGCTTTATGTAGAAATATCCTTATCATCCTGTGGAATTGCTTTATTCTCAGATGAAAAAGCCATAGAGTTTTGTGCAGGAAAGGCTTTGTTATGGATGGCATTGTCCAAATGAATCAAGTGATAATGAAAATAATTTAAAGTTTAGGAGAATAATAAAATCTTGGAAGTTCTGTAATTTTTTTGGTGAGTTTCTTCAGTCTGTTGCCTTACCACTGAGAGTTAGAGCAAAGCAAGCAGTGAATTTGAATAGGTATGTATGTGAAGTGCCTTGGAATCCTAATCTTTGAGTGTACGTGTAAAGAAAATACTTGTAAGAAACAGGTTTGGTCCTCTAGCCTAGCATGCTTTAAAAACATTACTCTCTACTAAGCATGCTTGATTTTGAGGTAGTTTTAAAATATTTCTCTCCAAGTAGTTTTTGCCTTCTGGTTGGTGTCTGCTGTACCGTGTGCTGAAACACAAGAAGTGTCAAACGGGAATGCTCTCCTCTTCAACAGACCCAGTGATTTCTGGTATTTGCAGAGTTCAGAGCCCGCTGGCATGGACATGCTGAACATGTTTATATTTCTGAGGCATTGAGGGAGCGTTCTGTGACTCTGTGAAGCTCTGTGCCGCCCCTGCTCCTGTGGGAATGTTCCAGTGTCGGCCATAGGGGTTGATGAAATGACATGAAAAGAGCAGTTAGTTCTTGACATCTGAAGCGGCTGCCAAGTTGCGTGGGTAGTTGGCAAGGAAATAAATATTGATAGACCCTAGCAACAGGTACTCCTGAGAACTCTCGTTCTGGGAATGCTTAGCCTGTGTCCAGTGTTATTTATATTGTGCTAGCATTCTGAGTTTATTTATAGGATTTATTTGTGCCTTATCGCCATTGCTCAGAACTGGAATGCGTGAATGGGCTTTGCTGCACGAGGGCACAGACTTGTGTATCTCATACCCTTCTCTGGTGACTCCTTTCGATGCTTCACTGTTCAGATCTCGGGTGGTTGATGGACACCGATGTACGACATCTCATGTACGCACTTGAGGACTCTCCGGTGTTGGAATGACTGTTCCGGAGCTATGCACCTATAAGTGCATTGGATACAAGAATTTCCTTCTTTCAGTAATACGTTATCAAAACATTCACATAGAAGGCTCCACCATCTGAGAATCCACCAGATGAAGTTGCTTATGTTGTGAAAGCACTTTCTCTTGTGAGCATTGTAAGTGAACTGTTTTATATTCTTGCTGCAGAAATTGAAGCCCGAGAAGCCTGCGACTGGCTGAGAGCTGCCGGTTTCCCCCAGTATGCTCAGCTTTTTGAAGGTATGGTCCCAAAGGCTTGTCAAGCAGCTGGCTCTGAACTGACACATAGAACCGTTTGCATAAATAATCTTTCAGAACCTGACACTTTCAGTGGAAGCACTTCAAAATTCTGAAATGTCTTCATGCTAACCTGTAGAAAAATAGCAACCTGGTGCATGTTCTTGCAGAAGTGACATCTTGAAGCATGGACTCAGCAGAACTCCGTAAAGGACTAAATCTTTCCGGGTTGTGGTTAGACTGTAGCTTGGTCAAATTTCTGCTTTTTGTGGTTTTCAGTTGCGTAGAATCTCTCAGGCTCTTTCCAAAAAAGTGTTAGATTTTTTTTCTGACATTGATTGCAATGAAAACTCACCTAAGGCTTTCCAGCCTGTGGTCTTGAAGCATGATTATTTTCTATTGAAGAATATTAGAAAAATCATCTTGCAATCGTAAGTTTTAAAAAACAGATACCTAGAAGCAGCCAGCCACAGTCAAACAATGCAATTCCAGAGTGTTTTCACGTTGTTAAAGCTACAAAGGTTGCTTATTACTTGTGGGGGAGTTAGAGCTTCACTGAAAATTTGGGTAATTTTCAGACAGCATTTGTGCTTATACCTTAAAACTGCTCATCTTTAAAATGTGTTTATTATTGCAAACATGGAATGTAACAAAAGCTAATCTAGTTTTAAGAGAAATTTTAGCAAAGAACTAGAGGTAAAAGAACCAATAGTAACTTCTACCTGCTCTCATTCCCGCCTCTCTTCTTCATTGCAAAGTTAAAAATTGGAAGTCAAGCAATAGAGTCAAATTTGAAAGCTGTATATTACAAAATATGATTTCTCATGGAAATGCTTCCTGTTTGACTATAGCAGATTTTAGTATATGAGCTATCAACCTTAGGGATTGCTGGAAATGTACATTGTGTTGCTTCTGGAGAATGAATCCTCTGTGTAGAATACTCCCTGTTTTATACTGCACCTGAAGGCAGAAGGTGCAGAGAACCCAACCAAAGCCAAACTTCGGTTTTGTGTTTCTTGGCTGTCTAAGTGATGGTATTTAGTCACTGCAGTCTCCTGGAAACGCAGCGCTTGCCTACCCATAGCGATACCTACACTTATTCTCCTACTTGCTTGAAGGAACTGATCCTCACTTACTTGAAGGACATTTGTATGAATACGTAGCTCTAGAAATAGATTTAGATTTCTATCACCTGTTGCAAAATTCAAAGTCTTTGCAATTATAACTCGGATTTCAGACTCAACTTCTTTGTTCACAGATATGCAGTTTCCTATTGATGCAAAAACTGTGAGGAAAGATCATGAATTTTTAGATGGAGATGCGATTGAATCACTATTCAGGTAAACATTAATTATAAATCACCTTTAGTGCCTCCAGGCTCCATAGTTACTTGTCATTCATCTTTTCATGCCTCAGTTTTTGTCAGAGACTAGCAAAGTCATCAATGCTGTGACTGAAGAAAATCACTTAAGCGCACACTTTAATACCCCTGGAGTTGGTTGTTTTAAGAATTTAAAGGTAAAGCAAGTGTGTATCTTCATCCAAGGTCTCAGTGACATTATACCAAGCATCACACCTGTTTTTTTTGTGATGTGAAATGTCTACAGGCTGCAAAAGGGTAATCAGTTCCCTCCAAGCATATGGGGACATGACAGTTTGCTCTTTAGAATTGGTTATTACAGAGTGCAGGGATTTCCCATGACTAGTGAGCTTCCCCGAAGCTGTTCCAGAAAAAAATGCACAGGAGATACACTCTCTGTTTTGTTTTCCTGATTTTTTTTTTTTTTGAGTGAGAAGCAAAGACGTTGATTTAAAATTATTGTTCGGTCACAGCTGTTCACAGCACACAAGTGGAATTACATCGTCAGTGCAAGGTCAAACTCGTTGCTCGTTGGACTTTGCCCATGTAAGAGCGCTGGGGTAGCACCGAGGCATTCTTTGTTACTTGCTGCAGTTTTGGAAGCCTTCTCATTAGGAGATTGTTCATCAGGTGAAGCAAGCCCCAGACCACCCACGCCACGCCACTTGAGCGATCCGAGGGACGCAATAAGGATTTGTAGCTCTCGAGGGACCCGAAAGTTCATCTTCTGGCAAAGTGGTTTGGTCCTTTGCTGTAACTCTTGGTCACCTGAATTCAAACCCTGCTTCTAAGAGGAGCACCAGCAGGGGCATGTCCATGCACCTATACAAAAACACCTGGGTTTCATATACGTCTCTAACGCACAGCTGATGCTAGAGGACTTTGGATATATTTTGTTTCTTGATATGATTTCTGTGCTGAGCATTGCCTGAAGGCTGTCACTGAGCCTCCCTGTTGATGCCACATGTGTGATTGACAGTTGACTGACGAGTTTGGGGCCATCCACAAATTTTAATTAAAATGGTGTTCGGTCCCCATGTGTTGCCTGATCTAGTTGAGAGGCGTCCCTGCCCATGACAGGGAGGTTGGACTAGATGATCTCTAAGGTCCCTTCCAGCCAAGGCCATTCTATGATTCTATGATAGATAATAAAGTCCTTCCAAGGATCCTTGGGGATTCATTTTGGCGTTTGTTTTTGTTTTGTTTTTTTTAGAAGCCCATTCTGAGTTCCTTTCATTTGCAAAATTGCAAATCAGTGTACAGTTTTGCACCATCAGTAAAGCTCATAATCTGATTCTTAATTAGCTGATTACTTATGGTCCTCTAGTTTCAAGATGGCGAAACGGAAACTGTGAACATCATGGCGTTCTTAATTTGTTGCTGGTTTTGGCAACATGTACAGAGAACCTCTAATAGAATATCAGTCTTTGATGCTAGTAGTGAAAACTCCATGGTAGAAGTTCACAAGAAGTTTGTTATCAAGAAATAAAATAGTTTAAATTTAAACTTCTGCCTTTTTTTTTACACCCTAGGCGGTTAAACACATTGAACAAGTGTGCATCAATGAAAGTGGAAATAAGCCATCAGAGGAAATGGGTGAGTTTGTAAAATACAGTAAATTTTCTCATCATAGATGTGGTTAGTTATTGTCTCTAAACCGCATTTTTTAAAAGTGTAAGAAGGATTAACAATTTCTGAACTTTTCTTTCTATTCTCTTCCATCCTGCGAAGTTCCTCCATTTACTTTTTTGGCTGAAATACGTCGTGATGGAGATTGAAATTGAGCAGTGTTCGCTTTATATCTTTGTAAGGTAGACCAGGGGTGGGGTTTCTTTACCTGGAAATTAATGAATTTTGGTCACAGAAGCATGAAAAAGTGTTTGATTTGTTTGGCTTTAGGAAAGGCCATGTAAGCCAAATATCTTTCAAAACTTCTGGGTTTGCCGCAGAACAGATTTTTTCATCCTCAGATCAAATCTGTCATCTTTCCCTGTGGTAAACGCAGCAGATGTGTCAGCACCAGTAAATTGTCAGCGCGGTTTTCAACTAATGGTCTGCTCAGGGCAGACCTTCAGAATGGTGACATTTCCGTATGTTGGTCTTGAGGATTTTGGAGAAGGCAGAAAATGTAAATCTCTTCTGTTACATTTTTAAAGAATTTATAGTTTGCCAAACTTTCCCCTTAAACTGCACTTTTTTTTCCCTTCCTTCTAAGAGTGATGGCTCTGAAGATGATGAACCTTGTGCAATAAGTAACAAGTGGGCTTATGAGAGGTGCAGTCAGAGATGGTCTCGTATCGAGAGCCTCGAAGGTTTCCCAAGAGAGGAAGGTGCTGGTGCATCCGTCCCAGGCAGCCCCAGACTGAAGAGCATCAGCAACGAGGATTCCGTCTTTCTTGATCATGGCGAGAAACATGATGAGTCTTCCATTCACAGCACTAGCAGTGGGGACAGTGACACTGTTAGCTTCCCAAAACCTTTTGAAGATGTGGAAACCAACCTGAGCTCCGCAAGCTGTTCCTCAATTAAAGTGGCTTCACCGGACTCTACTTTTCTTTGTTCTTCTCCCCCAAGTGAGTTTTTAAATGTCGCCAGCGAGGAGAAGCTTTTGGATAAGTCACCATACAAAAAGAGGAAGAGCCTGCTAAAGAAAATGGAGAAGCTGCACTTAAGGAGCTCCAGCTTAAGGAGTGGTCAGTCAAAAGCCAAACCCATAATAAGTGAACCTGTTCTTCTGGAAGGACTTAATGAAGAGAAGATGAAGATGCTGAACTGTGTAAATATTTCCGATCTCTCTGGCATCCAAACAAAGAGCAGTTCCTCCTTCTCTCCCCAGGGCTGCAACAGCAGCAGTCAGTCTGCAACGAGCAGCACGGTGAGCACCCCGAGCCTTGTTATAAAACCACAAAGCCAGGATGAAGGAAGGGAGGTGTATGCAGAGGACTTGGATTCTAGCAAGCTCTTGCTGTGGAATGATCTATCGCAGCAAAACCTAAAAAATGACATGAAGTTAGGAATGAACCAGATGTTTCAAATACCACAAGGCCATAAACCTGGTACTTTCCCCAAAGCACTTACAAACACCTCCTTGTCTCCCATAGACAACTCTTCTGTCAGCTGGAGAACTGGGAGTTTTCACGGGAGCGGGAGGATCCAGAGCAGAAGCAGTTCCAAGGATTCCAAAGCCCCCAGGAGCCCCTTGTCACACGCATATAACAGGCTAAGTGTATACGACAACATGCCCAGTATTGAACTTGATCATTTGGAGGCAGCACAAGTTGGTGATGATGATGTTTTTTCAGAACTGAACAATGTTATAGAAGATGTCAATGGTCTCAAAAAGTTGGTGGATCAGTGGACAGAGAAGTTCTCAGATGATGGGGATTCAGACTTGGCCGGTGACTTGACCTCTTTGTATCCATCCTTACCTAAAGAAATCCGTCTTGCAGTGGAGGACTCGGAGGGTAAGACAGCAGACCTCCCGACCGCCGAGGGAGAGAGCAGCTGTGAGCTGGGCAAGGAGATCAGCTCTGCAGACCTGGCATACGTGACAGACACCAAAAAGACTGACAGGTCAGTCATCCTTGGGTTTTCCTAGTAGGCTGCCCCTTGGGAATCTTTCCCCACTCAAAATTGCTTTTTTAGAACAAAATACTCTTAAGCAACTCGATTTTGGGTAGCAGGGTCTGCACCGCTGGTGCAGATACTGCTGCTCTGTAGGCACTTCAGCATCTACATCTGCTCGTAATCTGCATGAGACATTTGGAATCGGACTTTATGGCTAGTTTGCTGTATTCCTCATTGAATCATTTTGTATTGCCACGGTACCTCCTGCATGAGAAGCACCTTCTTTAAATGCAGCTGGCGGTGTTTGGGAGCTGCAGGTCAGTGAGACTCAGGTGCTTGACAGGTGCAGGTGGAAAACTAACAGGGATGATGGAAGTAAGTCCTATGCTTAAACAATATTTGTCCTGTAGGCATGCGAAGCAGCACTGGTCTGTGGAAGAGGCTGTGAACTTGGAAAGCCTGTCCCTGCAGACGGATAGCCAGTCAGCTGCCCAGCTAGCCCGGACACAAAAGCTGGCTCTGTTGAAACTCACTGCTTTAATGGACAGATACTCCCCTGGCAGTAAGCAGGGCTGGAACTGGTAAGTTGTCTAACAATGAAGCAACCTGCGTTGGAAAGAGATTTGATGTAAGCAGGTGAATTTCCTTGTCTCCCTAGATTACCCGTGTTCAAGACAAGGAATTTCATCCTGTTAAATTGCTGTTGGTTTTGTGGTTATTTTAGCGGCTCAAGGATTCCCTCTGCACTTTTGCTCGTGGTCACGCTGTTACTGATTTTCCAGCACAGTTTCTGTCTAGATTTGTCCCTTTGTAGGGCTTTGGCAGAGAGCGGTCCTTCACAGAGACTGCAGGACCTGAGGTGAGAGTTGGCTGGGCTGAGAATTCATCTTTTCAGCATCAAGTCCCTTGCTGAACTGAAAAAAACAGCAGTAGGAGGACTTACTTAGAAATATCAGTTAGCATCTTGTGACAGGGATCTGGTACTTGAACACAGAAAGGAGTGAAAGAGCCTGCAGTGTCCTAAAGGGATGGAACATATTTCACACAAGGATGCTTTACTAAAGCTAATTAGACTTTTGAAATGAGAAAGGTTTGTTCCTGTAACGGCCTGCTGCTATGTGTACAGGTATGTGGCAGGATTTGGGGCAAGGATAACTAAATCCTCTCCCATGCATGTAACTAAAGCAGCAGGCACAACGCTGCTGGAGAGCCAGTAAATTGCATGCATTCTTTTTTTGTTTTCAGGACTATACCAAAATTCATTAAGAAAATAAAAGCCTCTGACTACAAGGACAAAAACGTGTTTGGGGTTCCTTTACTTCTGAATGTTCAGCGAACGAGCCAGCCGCTGCCCAACGGCATTCTGCAAGCACTGGACTATTTAAGAAGCCACTTTCTTGATCAGGTATGAACTTGAGGCAGCCCAGAGCAGCTCAATTCCTTCAACGGATGTGCTCCGGGGAACTAGTCTCTGCTTTTCCCTTGATTAGCTCATTTGGTTAGAGTGTGGTGCTGATAACACCAAGGTCACAGGTTCAATCCCCATTCGGTCCCCACATGTTGCCTCATCTAGTTGAGAGGCGTCCCTGCCCATGACAGGGAGGTTGGATTAAATGATCTCTAAGGTCCCTTCCATCCTAGGCCGTTCTATGATAACTGATGAAAGTAAACACTGTCTCGGTGGCACACAGTGAAATGTCCAGCAGAAGTTTGTTGCGGTAGAGTCCATGGGTAGTTTCTAACACCAGATTTCATCTAAAACTGGCTTGCCACCGATATTAAAAATAAATCATAATTTCCCTCAGAATGCCTTTTGTCAACCCATAGACACATTAGATGTATCAGACACATCAGATGTTAAACCTGACCCTTGTGGAGCTCTCAGTCTGGGTTTGTTTGCTCCAGCACGGGCGCTGCTTTTGGACGAGCACACATGGGTGAGCATAGCCTGCCCAAGCAAACTGACAGATGTCAAGAGTAATGATTTTAAAAGTCAAAACATTGATTTTGCATTAAACAAAAAGCAAAGCCAACAGACAAACAGACACAGAAATTGATGTCTTTCACAGCTTGTTCTGTGGGCATCAGTCATGGTTGGCCCGAGAGGAATATCCGTGCTGCTTCTAATGATACAAAATTATATTGGTGTTAGATCCCACTACCATAGGGGCTTAGCTATCAAAAGGGAAGTGAAGGATCAGCTACTTGTCAGATGTTTGATTCCTGGTGAAGCCTCTCTTTGTCTTTAATATTTCCTTTTGCCCATAGGTCGGCCTGTTCCGAAAATCTGGTGTTAAATCCAGGATCCTGTCCTTAAGAGAAATGAATGAAACCAACCCTAACAACGTGTGTTACGAAGGGCAGTCGGCATTTGACGTGGCAGATATGGTGAAGCAGTATTTCCGAGACCTTCCTGAGCCCATATTTACTAGCAGGCTCTGCGAGTCCTTCCTCCGTATCTACCAATGTAGGTAACAAAAAATGTAGTTTTCCAACTCCCTGAATCTCTTAATAGTCAGACACAAAAGGCAGTTGCCAGACTAGGGCTAGTGCCATGTCCCCTTGTGGTCAGCAGAGGCCAGTCAGGCAGGATGTTCATTGCGCCTCTGGACTTGAGCTGCACATCTGTATCTTTATGGCCCAGCTGTTTCCTAACATCGTGTCTTTTCTGTTTTCTGAAGGATGAGTGTAGTAACATCTGTTGTAGCAGCCATCCTAAGCTGTGTTTTAAAACGGACGTTTCCTCATGCAAAATTAAGAAAGCATTTAGTCCCCTTGTTCATGGTATGACGTAGCTTCTTGTGCAAAAAGTCATGTTGTTATATCTGTGAAATTCCTTTATAAAGGTGCCCAAGCAGAGTTGCTGCGAAACAGCAGCTTTGTCTGGAAATGCCAGCAGCTTTCTGCCTGTGCTCTCACTGCTACTGTCCTTGAGGCTCAACCTGAAAAAGAAGGAAATGTGAAGCTGTAATCTAGCAGTGAATACAGTTTTAAGCAAGTTCCATGATGATGATGATGGTGACGTTGCTACAGCAAGCTTCTTCTTCTTTTGAAAAAGGTTTTTTAAAGTCAAAGTATGACCACGTGGACTGGTTTTCAGCCTGATCTACATAATTTTTATTGACATGAGTACATGAGCTGCTGCTGTCCTGTGTATGGTGTAGAAGCCCGGAAGTTTGCTTGCGTTTCATTTCCTAACCTGTCAGCTTTTAGAATTTTGTCTGAGAACAGTTTGATTGTTTGAAGCAAGTTTTCTTCCTGCATGCACAAATCCTTTTTATAAGGAGGTCCATGACTCCTGTGTCCAACAAATGTGGAACCGTTTTCTTCCATTTATTATGACTTGGCCACTGTTTTGTGATAGAAACAGCAAATGACTGAATTACCCTCCTCATCTGTCCTGTGCCACATATGACGAGCAAATTCCCAGATTACATTACTGTCTTTTGGAGATAAGAAATCTGCTGATTTCATGCTTTTTGTGTTCTGTGTATGTGCATCTGCTTGAAGGGAAGGAGAAGTGATCCTCCACCCTTTGTCATGGTGTAAATTGGAGAAATCCCCATGGCAGGGGATGCATGGATTGAACCGAACCTACTCTCCCACAGGAGCTGTTTGGGCACAGTCTCCCTGGGTTTCGGTGTGAATTAAAATCTGTTGGCAAAAGTGCTGTTCTCTCAATTGAGTTAACTGAGAGCATCTGTTCTCTTCACGCCTGAAGCTGAAAGAAAAAGACAGAGTAGAGTAGCCATCTGCTCCAAAGTATCATTCCAGAGTAATATTTTACGGGGAGACAAGCCCTTATTTGGATTGTAACCAGAGTCAGTTCAGGGTAAGTTCATTAGCGTGGTGAGCAAGATAAATTACAAGTCAGGCACAAACATCACTGGTGTAAAAGTGCGCATTAACAGGCAATAGGAGAAAACTGTACTTGTTTGATATGAACATGATAGTGGCCTTTACCTTGTCTGCTGTGAGCTAGAGTGACAGGAAAATGGATAAATCTACAAGGGATGAACCTTGGGACCCTATCAATGGATGCTTCCTCTGCAAGTCACGGGTGATCTTCATAGATTTTTTTTCTTTCTGTTTTCAGACGTGCCGAAGGATCAGCAGTTTCAGGCTGTCCAGGCGGCTATTCTCCTTCTCCCAAAGGAAAATCGAGAAGCTTTGAAGATCCTCCTGTTCTTCCTGCGAGATGTGGTTGCTTTTGTTGAGGAAAACCAGATGACCCCAACCAACATCGCTGTCTGTCTGGCGCCTTCTTTGTTTCACCTCAACACCCTGAGACGGGACAGTTCCTCCTCCTCCACTAGGTATTCGCTTCTTGATGCCGGCATTGCTGCTGCCTGTCGCCTTCTTTGCCAGAATGATGCCTTCTCTAGCCCGCCTAGGATCAGTGGTTGCTTTTGAGGGGGAAATAGTGTTCATGTCTTGGGGTTTGTCTCAAATATGATGATGACAGAGGAATCCCACAGCTCATTGTCCAGGGCAGGGAGCAGTGGTAAGATCCTGTAGTCATGCTCCTGACTCCTCTGCATGTGGGCTATCCCTCACCACCGCTGCGCTCTTTGTGGTTGCCCACAGGGCTGGTAGCCCAGGAATCCAGCCTGTGGCCATTTGCAGGGGTGGCCGTTGAACAAGTAGCTCGTGCAACGGCAAACTACAGCTGAGGTGCAG